GAAAAGTTGTAATAAAATTCTGCGAAAGTAAATGTTTGATAGCACAAATATACCATATTTGAAATTAAAATTTTATTATTTTCTCAAAGTAGAATACAAATTGAAGAAGGGTATCTAACTGCTCTGATGTGGTCATCACTTACAATGTAATATTGCTGCAAAGCTCTAGTAGGCAAGCTTGTTATATTTTGTACTGTAACTAAATTATTATAATAATATAATAATAATAAATATAACACTTTTGATATCGGGATTATGAATAATCACTCCGCTTGTTCTTTAATAAATTTCACTCATCCTTTAGATCATTAGCTTATGCGTTTATGAATAGTACCGATATCACTCGTATTATATAATGACAATAACTCAAAATCAAGCCAACATAAAAAATTATTCAAACAAAATTATATGACAAATATATTTATATTTTAAGAATTTATAAAACTCTATGGAGTGGCCACTTTTTAATTGAAATAGATATCAAAACGAGTACGTGATGTCCAAAAACGAGCGTCAATGTTGCCATGAAATGTTCAAATTATATTATATAGTAATAGGTATTCCTCTGTTTTCGACCATTATTATATTCTTCGCTATGTCTAAAATGAGCAAAAACCTCAGAGTAATTTACCAGATATTACTCATACACATAGTATGGGAGTGTGATATAATATATTGGGACATTTTTCTTTATGCCATATTTTATTTATTTTAATTAAAAAAATAATCAGTCTGAATATGTTATACTTGTTAGTAATGGTTACCTAAAAATTTGGTTTTTACCAATAAAATGTTTAAGATGTAAAGAAAAAATTAGGGGTCCCAGTATACACGACCTATCTCAATAAGAACTACCCAGTTGAACTTAATGTAACATGGCGTGGTACATTATGGGACAGCAATTTAATTCATGTTAAAATTGATTTTTTTTTTAAATCTAAACTGCAAATATTCTATAAAATCTTAATTACAAACGAAAGATGAAACAATTTTACAAAAATAATTGAAAGGTCAAACGAACTTACCTGAAGTGAAGTTCGATCTGAATTATATGAAATGCCTTGTTCGAGAGGATCATAGGTAGTACCCTCCTTTTCCCGCTCTGTGGCCACGTATTTTAAAGTCTAAATACCCTCAAAGAATTTAGAAAGTTCCAAAATAACAGCTGATTGTGCCAGTCTTTCCAACCTCTCCTCCCGTCCCGTAGTACTCAGATACACTTACGTCATTTATGTACACCAAAAATAAGATTGGACCAAGTACACTACCCTGTGGAACTCCTAAAGCTATATAAAGGTACTTTTGTATATTACTCGCGCCCAAACGGGTACTCCCAAATGTCATGGACCGTTTTGAGAAGGACAATAAAAAAGTCTTAAATAAATTTAAAAAGGCCAATACTGTTAAATCGATTACTTTAAATTGCGTCGTCGTTCGTGCCAATCAGCATGTAAACATATTTATTAAGATATTCCTTAGTGCTGTCGTAACCCACCCTCCCCCACATTACAGATACAGAAGATATCCCGAAGTAACAGCAAATTTAGAACACCCTGTACTTATATATTATTATACTTCATTTATATTACCTTTCAATATTTTGAGGAAATCTATAAAATGAATTTGCACCAATATAAGATATATTTTTAGTTTTTATAATTACAAACAAGTCCTCATTTTGTATCTTCTTCCATAACTCAGACTGTCACTAAAGCACGACAAAATCAGAAAATAGTCAACGATAAAAATATTTAAACAAAACAGATACAACAATAATAATAATAATAATAATAATATTTATAAATTCACGATTTAAGTACCTCCGCCCGTGTCGGTCGCTACTGCATTGAGAGTTTCGGTTTAAATGCGCTCGAAGGTCACGGGCCCTCGGCGCCCATATGATCGGATATATCCTTCTGGTTACTATATATTCCTAGGGGCGTGTGGTGTGCCATCTTTCACAAGATGTCGATCCTAATCCATAGAAGTTGGGCTCGTAAAAGTTCCCTATGTCTGGTTAACATCAGATGGTTCGCCAAAATTAGTTCATAAAGGAGGGGGGGGGGGGTTATTGCCGTTTGAAATCTTTTAGAAATATTAAATAGTAATATTTCAGAAATATTAGACTAAAAAAAATACATTTACAAATATACATGGATAATTTTTAAACGTTATTTCTTAAAATATAAAAACGAATCGCTTAATTTCCACAAATTCCTTTAAATGTATGTACTAATCTGAAACAAATAGTTTTTTTTTTAATAAATGCCCCAAGTAAAGAAACATTTACGATTATTACAATCTGATCATTAAGATCAATTAGCAATTTTATTCTAATTTAACTTATCAAGGAATAAACTATTATTCTACTCACTAGTATACCTTAGAGTCTATTTAATTACACTACCGTTAACGTACTATACTCTGTTTTAACATCACTGAACTAACTCAAAAGACTTGGTTCTCTTGAGTCTTATTAGATTGGCTTTGTTGAGGAGCTGGATAATCTCAAGGTTTCCATGTTGGAGCAGTCGTTGGTGACTACTGGCAAATTTTTGTGTGGTATTTTCAACAGTCTCCACTTTAAGGTCCCTATGAAGATCAGTATTGTGGCAGTACCAGGGTGCATCGACGATGTTCCTTAATACTTTATTCTGGAAACGTTGAATAACTTAGATGTTACTTTTACTGGCAGCGCCCCAAAGCTGGCGAATCGCTTCATTTTCACCAATTCCTTTAAATGCACTAATCTGAAACAAATTATAGGTAATTAAAAAGGTCTATTAATATTGTTTATTAACTATAATAAAACAAACAATACTCATGCCTACACAAAACATGAAGCTCCACTTTTAAATCGGCTGTAGAACTAATAAATAAAACTGGTGGCGGGCCAGCAAATGTAGGTTATATTTAAATAGAAATAAGAATATAAAATGCCTATAAATTTGATAAACGAAATGGCGTCACTAGTCTCAGAGAAGAGATAAAGTTTAGACCTAACCTAAACAAGCATTGTAATACTCGCCTCATATTCTGCCTATTTTACTTCCCGTATAACAACAGCACAACGCATAAATAACAAAAAAAAAAAGGAAATGAGAAAAACAGACAACTCAAATCTATAATTATTTAGAATATAGGGTTGTGTCTGGCTGGACTTAGGATGAAATAAAATATATACATATCCCATCTTGATCTTCTTACAAATCAGAAATTCTTCATTAAGTGTTGGCCTTTTACAAAATAACCCGTTTCGTAACCTTTTGTGTAACATTTTTACCATGTTTCAGAAACATTTTCAGAGAAATATTTAACTAAAATATTTCAGAAACTTGTGCTTGAAATGTTATATGTTTGAAACGTTTAAAATATTTCTGAAACACTTCTGAAATAATGTGTGGTGTATGGGTACCGAGTTATATAATACATTAAAAACTATAAAACTATGTTAATTTAGCGGTCAGTTCTATTTCTATGCTTCCTAGAAGTTCCTTGTTCTATAGAACATTCTGTTCAGCTTAACACTCATTTACAACCAAAAAAATAAAAGATTAGTCTTAATTATTTGGATTGTCTATTGGGAAAATCACTATAAAAAATTCACAAAACCTCAATCTCTGTGATGGTGTGGAAATGATGTTAACGTTTCAGTTAATTTTTCTCGTAATTGATGGCAATATAAGTTCGTACCTATGGTTTCATCGTGAATCATCCTGTATCTTTAAATATTTTAAACCGTCCCATGGACATCTGACCAAAACTTATATTAAACTTATATATCGTCGCCCTTATCACGAAGTGGCATAAGTAGCAAATAGTAAATTTTACAGGAAAGCAATAAAACGAAAATACGTAATTCTCAGGTCGACATAATATAGAGGGATTTAGAGTTTGCGCTTTCAAAATTTTATCATGGATTGCTAAGGCCTTGTTTTATTGTTTGGTAATTCCCTCGGGAATTTTTAGAATAGTTCGTGAGGAAAATAGTCTGCGTTATTGCAGATAGGACACATAAGTAATATGCTGTATTGCACGCATTATTAAGGTTGTAGATGTGTCACTTCGTGAGATGGTAAAGTAGGTCAAGACTAGTTAATCCGCATAAAAAAACAATTTTTCAATTTTTGTTGGTTAGGTCACTTCGTGATAAGGGCGACGATATGATCCATAAAGTCAATCTAGCTTTTCAGTTTGAAGAAAAAATAACTAAAATCAGCAATTCTCCACTTTAACGTCCCATATCTCGAAAACTGTTCATAGTATCGGATTTAAAATTCATACCTATACGGTGTTAAAATTATTATATACTGAGAAAATCGTTACATTTGACCGGGAAAATTGTGTTTGTGTACTTTTCTTAAAACAATACCTTCCAATAAATAAATCACCTTGTATATTTTGAAGCTTAGAGGAACACATATTTTAGTGGTATTACCTTTCTCAAAAATCAATCCATAAGTACAGGATTTTGAATTAATTCTTAATCTCTATAAAACACCCTGTATAAAAAATGTGCAATATTTTGTCGCCAAAATACCATATTGAGTAGTACTTTTTGAAAATATGCTTCCCTAACGTCACCGTAGAATTAGCATTAATGAGTCCGTTAATACTTTTGGTTACTAGGTTGAGTACAACAACATATCAAAGTTTCAGAAAATTTGACATTTTCTAGTTAGTTAGTTGTTACGTTTCAATTAAAAAGTGGCCACCCTTTGAATGGGGAACAAATTTCTCAGTGTATGACAACCACCTAAAGTGGTCAGTAGGTTTACGAAATTATTTTTTTTTTAACATATAAAGTGTAAAATTCAAAGCATTATTTTAATTAGACCTGAATTACTTTTCATGATAATCACCCATTACACAAATATTTTTAATAAAACTTAAGCACTTAGAAAAACTAGAAATAAGCATTTAGAGATAATAGTTATAATATAGATCCCGATTTTATTTTTGTAGATTTTGTTTTTGAGTTGAATCATTTTTTTTTCCAGTTAGATGATGCCGCTACATTAAGTTGGTCAACAAGACTTAAGGGCTTTTTGGCATGTTTCATAGTAGGCATCTTGTTAACCTTTTTGGGTTCGTTTGCTTTATTTTTAAATAGAGGTTTGCCAGTTTTTGCAGTATTTTACACTCTCGGAAATGTCACATCATTACTAAGCACCTGCTTCCTCATGGGTCCCGTCAACCAAGTTAAGAAAATGTTTGCATCAAATAGATACATTGCAACAATCTTAGTTATAGTTTCTTTTGTTTTAACATTAATTTCAGCGCTTTGGGTAAGTATTTGTTTTTTATTTTTTATAAATTCATTTAACATATATCTGATTCACAAAATGGTCACAGATTGCATATAAAAAGAACCATGTATTATTAGTAGGTATTCCAACTCATACAATGTATTCTCATAGAGATTATTCACCTATCAACACGTAAAAGTCTAATCCCCAACCTAAAATATGTGGATATATGTGTAATATAATTTTTAGAAACTACTGTTTGCATTCAACTCAATTAATTCAGTTCGTAATGGTTCTAAAAATAGAAATTGCTTGCTAGTAAAAGTAGTTGCAGTAAATTATTACTCGTAAATTAGGATTTTTATTTAAAGAAAAGTATCTGCTACTTGTTCTGTAAAAATAACGGTAGGGTTAATAATAGTTATTGCAGTAACGGTCATTTTGGAACGCATTAATCTCTAAATTCAAAAAAATTATAGAATACCTAATCTCATTAACGTAGTAATTAAATGTTAAAAATGTAAAGTGATAGAAAAAACCCAAGTCCTCTGACAAAAGAGTATCGCATTTTTAGTTACGGTTTGCACGTGTCTTCTTATTTCAGTTGCGCTTTGTTGTTGCTTAGCAGCGTAAACTTTATTAAGGTGCGTTTACACGAATACAAGAACTCACTTTGAAAAAAATTAAGATTACGTTTTACATTTTGTCTACAAATTCGTAAAATGAGATTCTTTGTTAAAAAAATACATTATAACAAGAGGCACACAGAATATTTATTGGATAACTCTTATACATTTTTTCAATCTATCATTTTCTTCACAACTGGACTCTGATTCAGACCACTACTCGCCGTTGTACCTAAATTAATAATAATTGGTTCTAGATCAGAAACATCTAATTGCTTGCATTTTTCCCAATCGGAAATAATTGTTTTTAGTGTGTCTTACATAATAATTGTCCCACTGAGTATTGGTAACATTATTCAAAGCTTCTGAACAAGTCTGAACATCTTCCGGTGACGACTTGGTTGTTAAAATTTGTTTCGTCAAAAAACCGTTTGCACTGTGACCACACCATCTCTATCGCATTGTACTGGTAGTGATATGGAGGACTTCTTAATATTTTATGCCCATATTCTTCAACTAATTTATCTAGGTAGAATTCTTTTCGTGGTAAATTTTGACGTACAACTTCCCCAATCTGATATTTCATACCATTGATTGGATAATTAATGTTTTTTTCCTGCATTAATTTTACCATTATATCTTTTGTCCAACTATAACATGGAATTGTTCCACGTACCGCTAATAATAACTGGCATTATCGAGTATAATCAAAGAAGGATGTTCCAGACTACGAGTAGAGGTAGATTTCGTCTTAAAACAATTTTCAAAATTTTCTGTGTTCATATTATTATGGTAATCACCGCTTTTTGTTTGACTTTTAAATATAAGGTTTGCGTTTTTTATAAACGCTTCTTCATTGCCACCATGGACAATTATTTTTCTAATTCCATTTCCTGTTTTTTTTTTACTTGCAGTAGCCATCGTTCCATCTTGCCAACTTTTTCTGTCACTTCACTTGCTATATACCCACGTCTCATTCATAAATAAAGGCTTAAAGTTACCCAGCTCTATCTCCTTGTTAAAATTTTGCAAAAACATTTTTTTTTAACTGAATCGATGGTTGTTCCAATAAAAAGTATTGTTTCTTCTTTTAAAGCGCAAGCCAATTTTTCGAATCGCATGTATTAATTGACCGTGCAGAACATTTCACATCAGGAATTTATTCCGAAAATCGTTTATATATTAAAGAATTGACTTTTGTTTTACTTTGGCTTACTTTTTTAGATATTTTCATATACTCTGTATCAGAATTTGTTGGTTTACTAAGTCTATAGATAGTTTTCTGCGAAATATTTAATGCATCTGCAACCATTTGAATGTACCTCTTTCCAAAAGCCTCGCAAATAGATTTGTGTCTCTTAAAATAGGAAACTACGTTTAGGATTAAAGTTTTTGATTGATCACCAAATTGTTTCAGCATTTTGTCGTCACACTGCTGTTCTATAAACTTGAGAGTTAACTGTATCCTTTCGCAGAGTATGTTCTCAGATCATCTGCATACGCTATTGTGTAGAGACTGTCATTATTGAGGCGACTGATGATGTCGAGCACTATATGTTCCACAGTAGAGGTGATAGTACCCTTCCCTGTAAACATCCCCTCGCAACCAATCTTATATTCACATCTTCTACACTTATGTTTACTGCTCGCTTTAACAGCATGTTATGTATCCCACCCTCTAACCATCTGTGGAACATTCCTATTGGTTAGTGAGTGTATTATCTTGAGGAAGGTGATCTTGTGAAAAAACCCAAGGCGGACTCTTTATCGTCTAGGGATCTTTATCCGGCCAGCAAATACATGAAGGGCTGCATAGTAGATCTGCATGGGGTGTATGCATGTTGATTTTGGTAATGGTCTTATTGTACAACCCTTATCTACTTTTCACATAGCTATTCCAATGTCTTCATGGAAAGCAATGTCTGGCTAATTGGCCGGTATGTTTTTGGGATAGTGTAATCTATCCTTCCAGGTTCATTTTTTGGGGATATACCTCGGAGCCAACGGTGACCTGAATATACTTACGAGGTACGGGGTGAGTTCTTTCAGATCCCACTGCAGTAGGACTGGATAGTTACCGTCGGGTCCTGGTGATTTAAATGGAGAGAAGCTATATATTGCCCATCTAATTTTGTCTTCTTTTACAATGTATTTGGCAGTTTACCATTCGTAGACAGATGAGTTGTATTCTTCCTCACGTCTGTGATGACCAAGTCAGGGAAGTGTGTTAACAGCAAAAGGTTGATGCTGTGTTGGAGATTTTCATGCCATCCTCTTTGATTAGCGCATCAATGCTACGGTGTTGATCTCTTGAGGAGCTCTTTGAAGCCTTGCTGCCTGTGGGAAATCTTCCAGTTCTTCGCAATAAGTTCTCCATGCATCTCTCAGTTTTTTCTAACGACTTTTTTGTATTCTTTGAGGTGATATTTATACGTATCCCAGTACGATTTGAGTTTTGTGGTTCTTGCCTTAGTAAAGGATTTCCTAACCATCTTCTTGAGGTGTTCCAACTCGTAACACCACTATGCGGTAGTCGTCTGATGATATTAGACCAGCCTCAGGGGACAGGATTTCCTATAGGCGTTGTTTATTGTACTTTGAATAGTGTTCGAGAACTTTTCCAAAGTATTGTTATTGTTTGGTGTTTTTCGGTCTCCACTTCTCGCAGCGCCTCTTGGAGAAGGTGAGCATAGGATGCCCGGTCAGTTTTCCTAGGGTTCCGAGATGGCACCATCAAGATTATTTTGAATGTTAACCATCGATGGTCTGACATTGAAATATCAGACATTTGCCAGTTTAGAATTGATTTATAGATACCAGTTGTAGATAAAGTGATATCTATTAGTGTTTGACTGCGACACTTTAAAAATATTGGTGTAGTACCTTTAGTTAAAATACAAAGTTTGGTAATTATATAATTGGACGGCGTTATGCAGAAAGCTACCAAACCACAATATACCAAATATTGAGTTGGGTGCGGATTTGACTAATATAACACGCATTCTGCATTCTGTAAAAACCTACCAACTCTCAATTAATTATCCACCCTATAAAACCTTAAATTACTAGCCCACATATTTATTTTGATCAAACTTCTAATTTGCAGAAACCTACCAACCCACTTGGTATTATACTTATAATTGTAGAAACCTACCAACCCACTTGGTAATATTTTAATATACCTGGAAGAGGCGCACAAGAAATAGGCTCTTGCTTTAAAAAACATGTAAAAGCTAAATTACCTCTAGAAGTTAAACATCGTACCCTTTGGTGTGATTCTTGCGGCGCGACGGGCAGAATCAAAATATTAAATTAATACTTATTCTTAAATATTACATGGTACACATACGAACTTAGAAAGCATTACCGTAAAATATCTTTGTTCTGGTCACATTTTTCTGCCAAACGATACTGATTTCAGTGACATTGAGTCATCTTTTAAACGACAGCAAAGATTGTACACACCAGATGACTACATCGAGATAATGCATTCTTGCAGAAAGAAGAGGCCACTGATAGTCACATAAATGTCCATCGAAGATTTTTTGGGCGTGATGAATATTGAAAAGAAAATCACTAACCGGAAAATTACAAATGATAAAGAAAAAAATAGTTGGTTAAAGATAAGGTATATCAGAATATAAAAACAAGAACCATCTTGTTTAATGATAAAATGATTTTTTACAACCGTTCAAAAAAAATTCGATAAAAAAATGTTCTCGGGGTAGACCTTTTAAGGAAGATACATTTAGCGACCTAATACCACTCTGGCCAAACGGAAAACCTATCGCTGAAGCTAAACTAAAAAATTTAAATAAAATGGCTCATCTTATTCCTGCAGATGCGTCAAAATTTTATCAAAATTTACAGGGTGCCAATATAATTGTTGAGGGTTACAATGTTGACCGTTTAGATTTTGAAGTGAACGATGAAGTATAAAATAAAAAAGAATAAATTCCAACTCAAATGTGCCCCATAATAACTAAAAAGTGGTGGTTGTTTTCTGATAATCAGTCGTTAATTTTATTTTGTGTTACCTGGCTTTGAGCATTTTTAACTTTTTAGTAAAATAAAAACTTAATAAATAGTTCGAAAACTCGATTATTTTGTTTTTTGGTAAACAAAAATAATTTTTGATAACATTACTTTTGTTTTAATTCAAAAATAATGGTAATAATTCCCCGTTTTGCAAAATCGCCTTTTTTTACCTCTATTTTATATTTAAAATATTTAAACATACATAAAATATTAAAAAATCTATCTAGAATCAAAAGATAGTTACAAAATAGTATTTAAACATCCTGAAGATTTTTAAATGAATAAAAACTTTAGAGCTGATTATCTCAGTTTGTCACTATTGAGGGTTGGTAGCTTTCTGCATAACGCCGTCCAATTGTAAAGTGACTTGCCTCTAGTTTTGTTATCCTTACTGCCTATTACCAGCTCAAACTTCTAGTTCAGGCAGTATTCGAACAGATCCTCCATCTCTTTACTAGGTGGTGGCGAGGTTGCGTCGGTATGTTGACTTAACTATACACTCTAAGTAGACAAAATTCATGGTTCCTTTTGATTTTTTAATGAGTTATATAATCACGGATATTGTTAGAAACTACATAAAATTAAAAATAGATTATTGTACTTTTCACACAGTGGTCTGTGAAGAGTATTATAGTCTTACCCTGTACTCTGCAGTAACCGGCGGGCAACAGTTATAGGTAACCGTACGAGTAAAAGAAGAAATGTTTGTGCAAAAATCCTTCTCATCAAATTTTAACAACTTTTTAAAATGTACGTCCGATGTCACGTTTTTTGTCCGCACGAAAAGTCAGAAACTAAAAATGATATCAACTTGAAATTTTCAGAAAAAGTCAAGCTTTATAAGGGGCGAAGCATACTGATTTAGAAAAAATTGATTAAATATGGGAATGTTAACGGGGTCGAAATAAAAATAATCAAATCAAAAATGAAATCAAGCTCTATAAGGGGATGAAGGAATATGGAGGGTTAAGGGGGGTTGAAATTTAAAAAAATCAAATCAAAAACGAAAAGCCATATTAACATGAAATTTTTAGCAAAAACCGAAATCTGTAAGAGGACGAAGCCTATTGATTTTAAAAAAATCTGATTAAAAATGGAGATTTAGTTGAGGTAGAAATTTCAAAAAAACTCAAAAAAGCTAATCCAGACTCAAACAAAAAACAATAGCAACTTAAAATCTAAAGGAAAAATCAAGCTCTAGAAGAGATTTTGAAAAAGCTGTTAAACTGTGAAGAGTATAATGCTTGACATTCTAGTTATTGTATTGTATTCTCTCACCAGCACGTAAAAGGCAGATATTACATTTTACTGCCCAACCCGGAGTTCTGGTCAAAACGTTGATGTTGGCAACCTTACAAAAATTGAAATTTTTTAATAGCAAGCATACGTGAATGATAATTAACATGCGTGTCTTTTCAATGATTTTTAAAATATCCACGTATTTTAGTTCGGATGATGTTATTTTATATCAGTCTGTGGTTGAAAATTGATTATTTTCGTCCAAATGTAGGTATCTCATATTTTAGATTTGGACTTTAACAAAATAAGATCTCCTTCATCACTCAAAAACTTTTTTTTACCTATATTATACATTTTAGTATGTTTATAATAAAGTATATCAACTATGATAATTAATCCATATTTTACACTAAGAATGATAGCTAGTTTCAAAGTATATTTGAAACTGCTTTAAAGCAAAGAGTAAATCGCTGGTGTACTATGGTGTACGATCAATCTGTACTATGTGTATAGGTTTGTTCCCAATTAGATGTTACGATTAGTTTGCAATTAGTACTTGAACTGACCTAAGCGCATGTCATACATGAACTACGTTACAAATTAGTAAAAAGTTTTGTTCTATTGGGAACGCTTATAATGGAAATTGTCATGAATGACATTAGAGGTTGGGTAAATTGTCCGCTGGATATAGCCCCCGAAAAAAAGTATCAGTAGAATTTATAAAAATATTTATTATACATAATTATAAAAGGCCTACCTAAATAGTTTTCGTTTTTTTTTTCTGGGCTCTCCATACATTACAAAAAACTCGTCTTCTTCGTAATCACTCGAATCACTACTTGACGGAATACTGTCTTCGTCGCTCATTTTTATAAAAATACCAACAATAACAATAATAATAATAATAATTATCTCTACACGAGTATTATTAGTCGCCAAATTATCAATAAAAAGTTGGGTTAAGTTTAGCGAATGTAGATGGAGATCGTTTTGAGCATGCGTTAACTTTTCGTACATGCTTTTTAGCAAGGACTGTTTTGATCATCCGCAAACTAATGTACTAGTTTGTGTTTATTGGGAACAGCCAACCCATCGGGCATTATTCTACAAATGATTGGGAACACTTTCATGCTATTACGCAATTGCAAACTATTCTCGTACAATCCAAACTGCGATTGGGAACAAACCTATTAAGTGCATATTTTGTAATGTTTTCTATTATTTTGTTCCTACTAATTATGTAGGATTGCCACCATTGCAGCGATGCTGACCTGGAGAAATACACAAACGACTTTTTTTAAATTTTAATCTATTTGTGTACTATGTGCAATTTGTGTACTTTTGGGGCACAATGTGTACTAGTGTACAACATTTTCCCAGCGTTTACCCCTCGTTTTAAAGACTTAAAAAGTGTTCGAGACATCAATGTTGGTTTTTCACTGAGCAGCTTTAAAACTTTATCTTAACATTTCACTTTTGTACTGCAGTTTGTATGACTTTTTAAGAATAGGGTTATTTCAAATAGAAAAATTTGTTTTCAACAATTTTGAATACCGTTTGTGAAAAGTCTCTGCCTGACACAGAGATTGCGTTCCATCAGCAAAAATTTGTTTTATGTCTGGGTGCACGTGCAATTAGTTCGTATGACAAGTTTTAACTTGTTCTCTCAAGTAGTTTATAGCCTAAAAAACCACCACCACCACCACACCGGAAACCAACGAAAAAGTACATGATATCGTGTTGGTCGATAGGCGGGTGAAGGTGAGTGAGATAGCTGAGGCTATGGGGATATCGGAGGAACGGATGGGAAACATCTTGCACAAAGAATTAGGGAAGCGAAAGCTCTGCGCGTGATGGGTGCCGCATTTGCTAAATGTCTATCAAAGGCAAATGCGCAAACGATTTTCGCAGCAATAGGGACCCGACCGACTTTGTACGTCGATTAGTCACCACGGATGGGACATGGGTCCACCACTATACGCCAGAAATGAAACGGTAGTCCAAACAGTGGGTGGAAGCGGTGGTTCAACGCCAAAGAAAATGAAGTCGATCGCATCTGCCGGAAAGGTCATGGACAGCGTGTTTTGGGATGCGAAAGGGATCATGTTAATTGATTATCTTGAAAAAGGCAGAACAATTACAGGCGAATACTACTCCAATCTTCTTAACTAGCTGGATGCCAAAAAGAGGACTGGCTTGAAGAACAAATTATCTTTCATCAGGACAACGCACCTGCACACAAGGGTACGTTGCCGATGGAAAAACTGCGGGATTTGGGGTACGATTGACACCCTCGAGACTTCCATCTGCTTCCAAACTTGAAGAAATTTGTTTTCGGGAAGCGCTTCGTATCCAATGAAGACGTTGAGAGGACCGACCGTAGGTGAATATTTTCACAGCCTTCCCGACTCTCGCTTCCGGGAAGGAATACTGATGTTGGAGAACCGCTGGAACAAATGTGTTGAAGTCAAGGGAAATTATGTGGAAAATAAAATAATTTTTTAACTGAAAATCGCAGTCTTTTATTGTCAGGCCGAGAACTTTTCCCTCTACCATCGTAAATTAAATCATTTAAATAGTTTTGAAACTTACATCTTATAGTAATAAACTCATAACTAGTCATTTCATTTTTAGCCTATATTATAAATTTTATTGAAAATTATATGCTATATAATCGCTAAACTAGTAAACCTAAAATATTTTGAAATTGCAACTGCGCTGAATTATACTAATTTTCTACTTTTTCATTTCAGTTCAAGAGAGCCCTACTTGCCTTATTATTTATAATAATCCAGTCATTGGCTATGACATGGTATTCACTTTCATATATACCCTATGCCAGGGATGCTGTAAAGAAAACTGTTATGACCTGCATAGTGTAGTGGTGAACTAATCTTAGGTCTTATTTTTAAAGTTAAAGATTAAGTTATAAAAATACGGCTACTTTTTAATTTTTATATCTGTAAGTAAAATTGCATTTCGATTGATTTATGACTCTAGCAAACGCACTTACAAAACCGACAATTTTTAGGAGAAAAACGATAAAAATTTTTATTTAAAATAACAATTTTTTATTAGTTTATAAAAAAGTTCTGTATGTTCTAAAAATCAGTTATTTGCTGAGTATGTCGCAAAATATAAATTTGAAAGTATAAATTAGGTTACTTTATTTTTTAAAATATAGATTTTTGCTATTAAAAACCACACGGTCATATTTTATCTTAATCACATTTTGTGATTTTGCATAATCACTCTTTGGTATAGAAAAATTTATATCTTCCTCATCTAGGTAATTTAAATTAGGGGCAATTGTTTTATTTTAGTTAGGATTTTCAAGAGCTTCCTGAGGTTATTTGGAAAAATCACAAAATATGATTAATATTTTATAAGATAAATGTCTGTGACATAGTTAAATGAAGTTTTTAATTTTAAACGAATATTTTTTCGATATTTACAAAAAAAAATATTCTTTTACCAAATTTATATTTTTGTCATCAGATATTTCGTATGACTGACATTTTTTGATATCTGCTAATTTCATTTTTGGTTGGCAGTTTCAAATTATATAGACACATTGAACATAAAGTATATAACTATAAATAAAAACTAATATTCTTTTACGTCAGACGTTTTACAACCATAATTTAAAAATTGTAAAATTCTTATGGTTCAGTGGCATGTATAATTGTTTATCAAAACTGTTGAACGTGCAATATTCCTATTATTTGCTACGAAAGTAAATCTAAAAAAGCGTATTATGAAGTTTAAATTATCGGTTTAGTTGTTTTAGTAATTTTAATTACCTCATTCTAAATTTACTTATTTTCTGTTAAATTTATTGAAATATTTTAAATGAAGTAAAATAATCCATTGACAGTTTTACAGATTCTTAGTTAAAAATAAGTTTGAAACTAACTACTTGCTGATTAGGGTATAGGTTATGGTTCGCTAATCTGCCAAGTAACTATGTGTAACTTTACTCAGATGAAGAAATCACCCTTTAAAGTAATGTATACAAAACAAGCCCATAACTAAAACAATTATAACATAATCAACAGGGGTTTTACGACGGTGTTGCATTACTCAAATACACATTTTTGACATTTTATAATTTTCAATGTCTATGACATACGGACATAGAGTCTGTCCAGATAGAGAATAATATGTACGTCACAAACCCGCGAATCTTTTATTCTCCTTTGTCAGCATCATAAGGCAGGTCGCAAATATTCGTTTTCGACATTCGGTCACTGAATTCGATTTCCAGATTGGAAAAATAGACAGCACTGAAATAGTCTATTCCCCGCACATGTTCGATTTTTCCAAACGAAATATTTTCGTAGCATTCGTCTCGAAAGACTACCTTTTGCGTTCGAAATTTAGATTTGTTCAAAATCGAATGTATGCGATATATTCACGATTTTAGAATGGCGAATTTAACAGGTTAACTCCCATGAGCATCATAACGTGCTTCTCAGAAAATGCACTAGTATAGCCGTGAGAAGCACCGTATAATTCTTATTCATAATATATTCGCCGAGAGAATCGTCATCTGATAATCGTTTTCATTTAAACCTTATAAGCTCTAATATAGGTGGCTTGTGGATATGAGAATCATTAGTCGCTTCACACTAATTAAACATTTTTTTGTCAATACGTATATTACAAGAAAAGTACAAGACAATTTTTACTACGTTTTTTTTTTGGGGTATCTACAAAATACAAATGATACAAAATAACTTTAAAATAAAATACTTTTTAAACAAAATACAAATTATAACATTGAAAACTTTGCAAATTACCCAACCTACTTGTGCATAAGCTCTTATCGTATCTTTGCTTAGTAGTACTATGTACAATGTAAAATTGACTTATCTCAATAAGGTAGGGCTTAATCAAGGGGTAAAATAGGTCTCGTATACGATGAATGGTCTCCAAACAGCCTATTATCTTTTCTTAGGTCTTCAGGATGTTAATTACTATCCAAAACAGCAAATACTTGTAGCCTCCAAATAGTTCAGCCTTCTAGACGTGAATCATTCATTATACTTCTTAGGTCCTCAAGACGTTAATTACTATCCAAATACTTCATATTACCAAGTAAAAAACTTCTAAATCATTATTTAGATTTCCAAGTAAAACACCATTCAAATGTTGTCAAGTTAAAAGATTTCGACCTTTTAATGGATAAAGCGGATAAGTAGGGCGGATGAGACGAACATTTTGAATAATAAAATAAAATATATCCATTTATTTACAGTATTCAGAACTTGTAATCTCACAAAAAAAAATAACCTCAATCAGTTAAAAAGATAAATCTCTGGTAATCTATGTAATATTGTATGAAACAAAAAAAATATTAACTTAAGCACATATTTAATCTAATGGTTTTTAAAAATAAAAAAGAATCTATCAGTAGATCATCTCGATTCGTCTTATCGGCAGGAAGCAGATGGAACAATAGAGGTGTTTGAAAAATAACGGTATGAAAGACCACTTCAGCTAAAGAACAACACTATAAACAAAGTAATGTTAATCCGTGCTTTAAAACAAACTTACCGTGGTCAATTCAAGGATACTTTACACAATATCAGGCGAATTCTTAATTGACGGCTACAATAATTTGTATTTGCATGACATTTGTCATCTCAGACCTACCATCCTAGATATCATGTTTTGCATGATGCAGGATATTTACATTGTATCGTTTCAAAGTTATGAACCAGAATGTTCATTATCGCCATATAGGATACAAATGTAAAAATAGCTAATTAAAAATCTTAAGTGTAATAAATAAAAACTCATTGATGTTTTCAATTATCTTACATTTAAAAAAACTTTAATACAATATATGTGACAGAAGAGATGCGACATTTGAATATCGTCTCGTCAGGATTATCAGACATATCTTTGTTTGAAATAAACCAGTGGCGAAGCGAAATATGTAGTCTACTTGAGTCACGAACTGATTTCCAACAATTCACGCCACTATAATTTAGCGATTCGACATATTACTACCAAGAGTGCAATTAAGTCGTCTGCGCATTGTGACATACATATTGCTCTATCCCAGCGCATTCTACTACACGACACACGATTATACTCTTATAAATACAAAGAATAGTATCTGTAATATATTTTGTTATGTAAGGATCATCAGATGAAGTTGTTTTATCTGGCTGTGCGAAATTTGCTTTCAACAAAAATTATAAAAGAAAGAAAACCTGTGTAAATATTCTCGCTACGCTTATGTATAAATATGTATTTTTTTTCGCATCGTTATTAGGTTAGTCTTATTTATTAATTTCAATAATTTATGTATCACGACTGCTTAATTTATTTGGGGTAAAAATTAAAAAGTATGCCACAAAATGTGTCAATGAATTGTAAATCTTTGGTCTTTATAAAATGTGATGTATTTACATAAAAAATAGTAAATTGTATTATTATATTATGTTTCAATTATTATTGTTAGTTATTTTAAGAGATTTAATGATAGCTCATTTTTAACACTTTCCATTTTTCCGAGATTCATCTTTATTTCAGATGTTACGTACTTAAAATATTGGTACATTCATAATTTTTGAGTTTTGCTTGTTGCTATTTAACCGAGGGAAATAAAAAAAAAACAAAAATACTTCAACATTTTCTTTTATACTTAAAACTACTAACAAAATATATAAAATTTCATGTAAATATAAAATTTAACATACATAAGACTGAACTGTTAAACCTATAATTTCCTCTCATTATTATTCTTACTCAGCATGTATAATAAAATATTAAAAAAATATGGCGTTTCTTTAATAAATTCGTTTTGTCAGGACCATGTATATTTTTGATAAGTGAACAAACCAAAGTGTAGTTGGATTTGTTACAACTTAAACAAAATAAACTAATCCTTTAAAGATAGAAACGTCAATTTTGAGAAAAAGTAAGAATTGGGCGATGGCGTGAGTTTTCAATTACACTTTGACCCGTTACTTTGATTGGTAAAATTCAACTAAGTAAGGTTATGTTTTCTCAAATTAATTTGTTAATAGAGAGTTGAAGCGTTTCCAGGACGTGAACGCAGAAAAATAATGTTTACGTTGCGGTACAAAATATGAGTTGAAGTTGATAAACGCATCGTGACATTTACGTGTCATGACAATTTATATTGGGATTTCTTTTCCAATTAAAAAGAGGTTATTTTGTTTGCGTTACGTGTATACGCCAGAGCCCGTAAGTTTACGTATGTACGTAAACGTGAAGGATATTTGAACAAGCATGCGCAGATGTCAAATTTCACGTATACGTTTATAGCATCATTTCAACTCTCTAATATGAAAACATGAAATCGATAGAATAACATTTAAATCATGTCATTTTACCAAGGTTAAAATATTAAATTACAGTTCGTGTTCAGATTTGAAACATTTTTCTTTTATATTAAATTAACATCCTGTAAATGAAATAAATTCTTTTATTTAATTAAAATATTTCTTATGTAGTTGCTATATAAACTTGCTTCAATTTCAATTCAACTCAACATAAAAAATGTTGACTTATTTTAAATTGTTTTGTTTTAATCATAAATTTAGGTGAAAATTAAAAATAAAGAGATTAATGAACACAGTCTTGTATTAATTATAAAATTATCTATTGAAATCTATTCAGTTTATGAAATATCGCCCAATTATATTGAGCATTCATTATAATGATGTTCATATCTTTAAGTATTTACTTTTGTGTACATTTAAAAATGCTGGCATCCGTATTCACAACAGTTTTTAAGTAGTTACTAGCACTGATATCTAAGGGTGTGGCGTATATCTTGGACGCAATTTTTATCGGAAATAGTAGTCGCCAATGGGGTCTATTCTGTAACAATTCCTTTATATTTTAACGGCCGTTAAAATATTGGCGGCCTTTAAAAATATTTTCGTATTCGCTAATTTACTTCTGTCATTATTTAAACGGATTTCTTTAAGGTAGTCCTCTAATGTATTTTAAAGGAATCCGTTTAAATAACGACAAAAGTAATTTAGTAAATACGAAAATATTTTTAAAGGCCTCCAATATTTTAACGGCCGGTAAAATATAAAGGAATTGTTACAGAATAGACCCCATTATAAGCCAAATGTAAACTATGTAAGTGCATTTTAAAAAAAATGACATTTCCAACATCCTTAAAAGGTGACCTCTGATTAGACAAAATACGCCGTTGTTCAGGGCTCTTTATTTGCAATAAACTTAAATACTTAATTTTTTTTTTAAATTTAAATTTAACCCATTAGATAATCTAACCTAAAATGGAGAATACGACGTGCAAAATATATCACTTTCAATTTTGGGCTTTTTGGTTTGGTTATTTCAAAATGAAAATGACAGAATTCTACATATTATTTGACGATTCTGGGAATAATTATTAATTATGGATTTTCAAAAAGGATATATAATTTGTTTGAAAAAAAAAGTTTTTAATAGACGATTCAGGTAGACAAAACCTACAGAGTTTCATATACTCGGGCAAATTGAGGTTTTAGAGTTTTTGGCCCAACATTTTACGAATAAAAAACTTAGAAGATATTAGAGTTATTGCAAGTTCGTCAGTCACTATTAGCGCCGATCTTATTTTGACATCTGAGCATGCGCAGATCGTTTACGTTCTAGAACTCTTTTTTAAAGATTGTGCCTGTCCTTAATTGTGGATGTTTATAGGCAGCAGATAGTGGCGACTTTATAGCTTTCGGGTGCACTCGTCGACATCGTATCAGTTCGAAGTTTTACAATATTAAATATTTAATATCGTCATCTAAACCTTCTAAAATGGTAATTTCTAATGCCTCTTCCATATTATATAATACTACAAACAACAAAAAAGATGAACTGTAATTTAACATTTTTAAAATAAGGTTAGAAATATGTATAAGGGCAAGGGCTCTAATGTCAAAACCTCAGGTTTGCAATAAATCTTATCTTACCATGGAATTTATTTGCCTCTAATTACGTTGTCACTATTAGTGGCTGACGTTATAGAAATTTGCAATATCTCTTTATTAAAAAACTAGAATAAAAAAATTAATCACTAAGAACTATTCCAATTTATTTATTTTTTTTTTTTTAATTTTAGTCTTCGGCTTCGATAACTTAAGCCATTAGCCTCGTGTTCTTTGTAGTTCTATTTAGCAATAATAGCAGAACAGAAAATATATGTTTTACAGGAAAATCGATAACCAAAATCAAGACAACACTGTTCATTCTATTTATCGAGTTACAATGAATAAGAGACGATAAACACTATTTTACAATATGACATAAATGCATTTAGCGGTGCCAAGAGTGATGCAAAAGAGTTTAATCAAAATGACTTAGAGTCGTATTTTAATAATTTTATATTTGTAGATTGATGGAATAAAATTTTTATATTATTTAAATGAACCTATTTTGAAAAAATGTGTAATATAAAGGTGCGGACACTTTTAGTATCCTCATAGCAACTCCTCTTTATTCTATTTCTATGGCAACATTGTACCTAATAATTATGGTTTTTAGCAAACGAACATCAGAATAGTGCCAATTTAACACTGCGGCTACCTTATCAACTGAGAGTGCAGTCATATTGCAGCAGCGGGCAGCGCTCTCGGCTATTCTTTTTACGCAATCAAGGTTTTTTTTATTATTAAAAGCCATTGTTATACACAAAACTCGCAAACTGTTGGCAGCGCTTATTAGAATTGCAACTTCAAGAATACCGGAAAACAATTTTCTCGATTTTGGTGTAAGAATGTCATATTCTCGCACGCAAAATCGTTGAAGAATGAAAGTCATTCTTAAACGATTTTTGGTGACATTTTTTTGTGATATTTCAGTTGACATTCACTACTTTGCTAATAAATTTCACCAAGTGTTACCATCTGACATATTTTGCGAAAAAATTCCCATCAACGCCCACAAAAAAAAAAACAGTAAATAAAGCCCAAAATCGAGAAAATAGTATAAAACACACGTTACATTTTAATATACTATTATTCAATTTGCCAGTTACGAGAAACAAATGTGTACAACTAATAAAACATCTCTGTATGTCTGGTTGTTTATATTATAAAGTATAAAATAAACGTTTCCCACAGCCAAACCACTAAAGTTCGAATATAATCATTTCCCGTAATGACGCCACTCGATTCATTTTCTAGAATAGTCGGTTCCCGCATAGTCTTAGTGACCCATTCATCCATTTATTGGGTCTACATCGCAACCCCTTTAGATATAAGACATAAATGACGATTGAGATAAAAAGTTGTTGGACGATAGCGCTATTTTTCAATCACACTTTGAATCGTTACTGTGATTAGTAAATTTGAAATAAATGAGGTTTTGTTACCTCAAATCATTAACAAATTAAATATTCGTTATTTTTCTAGAAAACATTTATGAAATAAATAGAAAAACGTGAAGAATGTCAG